ATATCACGATTTTCCGACGCCAGGACGTGATATCTTTCAAAATCGATAAAAAGCGAAATTACTCTGAAATGGTTGAGAATCGGACCATGGACAATATGAACTTTTTTGTTCATTTTAGGGTGAAGAATCTACTGGAGAAATTTGTACCACGAGTAGCAATTCACCCTGTATATAGCTTTCTTTCTATCTATCTCTATACCCATTTACCGAAAAAGAAAAGAAACGGTATATAGAATGTAATAATATTATAAACCGTTTTTTTTCTTTTTTCTCTTTATTTTTTAACACAGACAAACCATTTGTTTTAATATATTATAAATATATACCACATTAGGAAACACCTCCCAGTTATTAAAATAACTAAATTACTAAGACCATTTTTCTCCAGTACGCGTTCAACGATTGATTCTACTTTAGAGCTGATACCTTGATTCGCGTACCCGCTTCCTCCGGCTAATTGAGCCGTTATTTATCGGTTTTTCTCCATTCCAGCTTCTCGTCTTCACTTCTATAAATCTCGGCTCTCGTAAAATTGTCCGCGGTACGATTACATCAATTAATTAAAGGCGTACCGGCCGAGATGCACGGGACGATATAAAAAAAACTGACTTAAATCGGATTGAAACGTTAGCAGGCTGTAATTGCTACTTGTTTCCTCACGTGGCTACGCATCCCGGCCTGAATTGGAAATAAGTTATGTTATATGCCCGTTTAATTATGTTTGTAAGATTATCTTCTAGTCAATGGAATTTTTTTAATCGAAATACTTCATTATGCATTACTCTCTCGTACTCTCTTTCTTTCACACACACACACACACACACACACACACACACACACACTTTTCCTCTTTATCTAATCTATTTATCTAAATTCACGACTTTTTTGCATTTCTCATGTTAGTTTTAGACGATGCTCTGTTTAACTCTCTCTCGCTCTGTCTCTCTCTCTCTCTCTGTCTCTCTCTCTCTCTCTGTCTCTCTCTCTTTTCTTCTTTCTCTTCTTCTCACTCTCTCAATCTTTCTCTCTCTATCACATTATTCTTTTCTTGCATTTCTCATGTTACTTTTCGTGTTGTTTTACCATTCCTCACTAAATTTTCCAAGCATTGTCTATTTATTTATCATTCTCACTCTTTCTCCCTCTCTCCCTCTTTCACTCTCTCACTCTCTCTCTCTATCCAACGCCATCTCTCTCTTTTTCTCTTTCTTTCTTTCTCTCTTTCTCCCTTTTCTTCTTTCTTTCTCTCTCCGTCTCACTCATTCGAGAAAAACCTTAAGCAACTGTTTTAGTATGACCTAGTTCTAGTATGACTTATATTTCCTGTCTTTTATCTCTTTTCTTCTTTCCCCCCCTCTCTCTCTCTCTCACTCTCTCTCTCTCTCTCTCTCAAACACTCACTCTTTATCTCTCTCTCTCTCTCTCTCTCTTCTTTCCCTCTGTCTCTCGCACACACTCACGCACTCACTCACTCTTTATCTCTCTCTCTCTCTCTCTCTCTCTCTCTTCTTTCTCTCTCTCTTCTTTCCCTCTGTTTCTCACTCACTCACTCTTTGTCTTTCTTTTTTTTCTCTATCTATCTCTAAATATATAAATATATAAAAAAATATTTTCTTATAACAAGTATGTATGAATATAATGATTTACCAGATGAAATTAAGAAATCCTATAATATAGAAGAAATGAAAACAATTTATAGAAAACTGCTAATAGAGAATGATTAATAATTGAATTTATTATATCTGTCAAGTACTCAAAATATTATAGTGCATTGTATGTTATTCTTCACAAATTTGTAAGTCCTTTTCAGGATTTGATTCTCAATAGATTTATTAAAGTTTTTAATGAGGTGATGAAAATTTAATTTTATATGTATGTAACCTATAACATTGTTAGTAAGTATTGTAATTATATAATTTCTTACTTCATCGATTTATTACAGATAAATGAATGTAAATTTTTATTTGGTTATTATTATTGTTTATTGTGTAATTATATTTTATTTTTTTATTATTATATGGATATGATCAAGTAGAAGTAATGTACGTTCAAATTGTAAAATGTTCGTTTCTCGTTGAGTGTAAGGACGGTCAAATTGAACTTTGTGAGATTTGTAAAAATAAAACGTTTAATCAAATCTCTCTCTCTCTCTCTCTCTCTCTCTCTCTCTCTCTCTCTCTCTCTCTCTCCCTCTCTCTCTTCCCCCCTCCCTCCCTCTCTTTCTCTTTCTCATATCTACGTATTTCTCTAATCTATCTTTCGGATTATATCAGTTTATGCACGTATCATAGTAGCTCCAAAAGGACCTATATCGCCGTTTTTGGATTTTATTGACCGAACATCAAGGGGTTGAATGCCTTTTCGGTTGGGAGAGGTCTGGAGGGGAAATATTTTTGGACGGGAGGTAAACATTTTTTTTTCTCGGTTATCGAAAGGCCGTCGGGCGGAAGTGAAAAGTCGGCCTTCGATCACTCGGAATAGAGTTACGAAACGGGATCTGAAATCGTCTCAGTCCAGAAATGGAAAGGGGCATTTTCACGTTGCGTTCGGCGGCCGTGACGAATTTTAGGACCCTTCGGACGAAGCGAATTTCGAATTGATTTTGAAAATGAATTACAAGTTGAAGTTTAAACTTGTTTTCTTATATTAAAAATAAAACTCTTAATTCATCGGAGTCTGGAGTAACAGTTGGAGTGCCTCAGGGTTACATTCTAGGCCCCATATTTTACATAATTTTGACGAATGACCTTTACAGTTACTTTCCCACAATTCACTTTACAGCGTATGTACATGATTGCAGTTCCCAGTTGGATGTACCGAGTGAGATCGAGCTGATCGAATATTGAGCTGAAATCCAATTTGAAAAAGTGATTTATTGAGAATGGTCTATTGCTATACAAAGAGAAGGCAAAGGTTATGATTCTAAAAACTTCTAATTCAAGAAATAGTCTAGACAATCAACCGATAAAACACTTGGGTGTAGTTATGGATTCATATCTCTCTTGGGATGCACATTGTCAATTTGTAGCATCTAAATTTAGCAAACAATTATTTTTATTAAGGAGTCTCCATATAAAATGTAGTTTTTGTACATTTCTATCTTAAGACATTAACTAAAGCCACAAATAAGAAAACAACAGAAAAGTTCATAAAAGATGTAACAAATAAATACACCATAGGAACAACATACATGTTAAAAATTTACATTTGAGATTTTAAATTTTTAATCTCATCTCTACTTTCTTCATCAGCTTCCGTATAAACAATAATAAAACTAAAAGAAAATAAGATCATAAAACAACATTTATTTTCCTATTCCTAAAGCTTATTCAATTTAACCCTAACCTAATAGAATGACCACTAAAACAGGTACAGATGTATCTTTTGTCTAGTATTCTTTAACTTCTATGTCTCACTCTATTTACTTTATTGCTACATCAGTAGTATCTTGTGTTTGACTCTTTCACTTCCTTTCTTTGAAATTCAGTTTGGTTTGTTTTGACCGTCTATTTTTGTCACCCTGTGTCACTCATTCTCTCTCTCTCTCTCTCTCTCTCTCTCTCTCTCTCTCTCTCTCTCTTTCTCTCTCTCTCTCTCTCTCACTCGCTCTCTTCCTCTTGCCTTGTGCCGAAGAAATAATATTTTTTAATCTCTCTCTTTCTCTCCCATTCTTTCTCTCCCTCTCCCCTCGCTCCCTCTCTCTTTCTTTCTTTTCCCCCTATCGCTTGATCTTTTTCCTTAATCCCATGAGAAGATTTCTTTCTCATTCCTACTCTCTCTCTCTCTCTCTCTTTCCTCCACTCTCTCTCTTTCTCTCCCTCTTTCCTCCACTCTCTCTCTCTTTCTCTCTCTCTCTCTCCCTCTCTCTCTCTCTCTCTCTCTCTTTCTCTCCCTCTTTCCTCCACTCTCTCTCTCTTTCTCTCTCTCTCTCTCTCTCTCTCTCTCTCTCTCTCTCTCTCTCTCTCTCTCTCTCTCTCTGTGCGTGTTTAGAAAATTTCTGTTTAAAAAGAAATGTACTTTCTTTCTAATAATTACAACATACAAGCAAAAAGTTGTTTGACAAGAAAGAACACAATTTTTCAGTTTATTATTTGTAAGCTTTGTCCTGAGAAGTCCTCTAGTGCTTGGAGAATTGGATCATTTACTAAATTGTGTTTTCATGACCTTTTCCTTTACTGAAGAATTTATTTATGCAAAAGAAATAGTGTTTATTGGTTAAAAGTTGTCCTCAAGACCATCGGGAATCATAAATTAATGGTGTTGAACGCTGTCGGAAGTCGGTTTCTCGTCTCGGACGTCCATCGAAAAACTGCACCCGGTGCTTTCCAGAGATTCCAGGAAGAGAGCGGCGAAGCTCCGCGGGGAGTTCGGCCCGTCAAGTTGGCCAGCCTGCTCCTGGAGTCGGTTCCCGAGGAGGAGGAAATTTCAAAATCAGTCGAGACCGGGAGTGCTGTGTGAACGTTCTGTGCGACCGGGTCGAAACGGTCAACGTAAGACCGAAAATGCAAAACACGATTTAAAAAATCCGGAAAAATGATTAACAAAATCTAAAACCCATTTTGCCACATTTGAGCCCTTTTTTTATAAAATATTTCTTTTTTTCGAAATAAATGTTTAAACGTAAGTAGATAATTTTTCAAAATCCTGGTTAGTTAATTTTTTTTAAATAAAAATTATCGCCTTAGTACTGAAAAAACGTTGAACTGAAAAATGTGGCCGTTCGATCATCTATTTAAAGAGTATTATTTAGAAAGCGCCGGTTAAAATTTTTTCCCTCAACCACCCTTCATTTTTGAACTGGACTTTTCATTCAAATAGAAAGAAGGAATGGATAAAAATAAAAGTGTAAGAGCATTTTTCTTTCTTTTTTTTTATTATTCATAATTTATGTAATTTTAATATTTTTTTCTGTACTATCAGACCTGATATAATCTGACATTTTCTTTGTCGATAACTCAATTTTTCCAACTTGAACTGGATTATTGCTAAATTCACCCTAAACGTAATGTATGAAAGTTATTGATTACTATTTTGTAAAAAATTATGCAGTTTTGTCGTTGGTTATGTGTTTTGGTGTGCTTCTCGCAAATTTCAATAGCCCTGCTTCTCCCTGCTTATAACCTTGATACCATCATCCCCCTGCATACCCTAATAGGAAATCTCGCAATTCAATTTTATAAATTTAAAACTAGCCAGGCTATAACACTTCTGGAATTTAAAGAGTTGTTATTACAAGTGAACGAGTGTTTGCTTCTAGATCCCTCCTCCTCAGAATTCTCCCTATATATATTTTTTTACCCATTTTGTTATCTTAATAAGGATTGTTTGACACGTCATATAAACTTTAAAACGCCTTGGCTCTTTGCCGATTTTACGAGATCGATGCGTTTACTTTTTTTCTCGTGCCCCTCATCCGCCTTTCGGCCCGAATTGAGAATGATTTGTGAATAAGAGCCAGGAATTTACGTCTTCTCGTGCGTGATGGCCAATGTCGTCGAGGTGACATTCTCCGTGTATAAATACATCAACAAGTTTAAATAATGGACCCTGTAGTAAATAAAATGAAAAAATGCCAACCGAGCTCCTGCAACAGTACGATGATAAATCCCCGTGGGGACATTTTTCAATGTATTCCCTTCCGAACGATGGCCAATAATTTGAAACGGATATTTTATTGAAATTCCCAGTTTGGAAGTTGTTTTAGTAAAACAATTGTTAAAAATGGTTATAAAGTACATAAATCAACGAAGGATTTTAAAAATTTGGATCTGTTGACTATTAAAATTTATATATATACAAATTTTGGCGATTAGTGACCGTTCATCGATGATTATTCAGAAATCGTGAGTTGCGGTCTGGTGTGAACATTTTGAGCCCTGAAGATGATCTCAATAAAGATCGAAACGTTGGCACGATAAAGAAAATGCTTTTCTGAAACCTACGTCACACCAGACCGCATCTCACGATTTCTGAATAATTATATATACAAACTTTGCCAGTAGATTCTACATTCAAAATGGAACCAAAATGTAATTAACTATGGTCCGAATCTCAGCAGTTTCGCAGTTAATTCATTTTTCTGATTTTTTTTTTTTAGATTTCACGACCTTGCTTCAAACAAACAATGATAACTTCAAAACTAAGAGGTTTTGGACAAATCTGATGATAACATTGAAAACTACGTTAAATTTCCAATAAGATGTGATCAATAGTTCACTTGTCAACGTTCGTGAAATAAGCGTTTTAGAAGCGATAAATAAAAAATAAAAAATAAATTTCGAAGTTGAAAAATTTACTATGGTGATTCTAAACTACTATTTCCAAACCTAGAGACCAGCAAATTTCAGAAAACGTACTCCATTTAATATCCTTTTTAGTGGTGTAATTTCCTTTTAATTACTTTTTTCAAAGTTATTCAGATATCGTGAGATGCGGTCGGGTGTGATGTAGGTTTCAGAAAAACATTTTCTTTATCGTGCCAACGTTTCGATCTTTTATTGAGATCATCTTCAGGNGATAAAGAAAATGTTTTTCTGAAACCTACATCACACCCGACCGCATCTCACGATATCTGAATAACTATCGATTAACGGTCACTAATCTCTACACATCTCTACACACTTTTTTCAAAGGTGAAGAAATTGATGGAAGAAAGGAAAAAACCGTGGCTGACAGATTGATAAGGTGGAAAATGAAAAAAACCTAATTTTTTTTTTCAAAGTTAAAAAACTTACTTGATGATTTTAATCTACTATTTCCAAACCTGGAAACCAGCAAATTTCAGAAAACAAAACATACTCCATTTAATCTCCTTTTTAGTGGTGTAATTTCCTTTTAATTACTTTGTTCAAATGTGAAGAAATTGATGGAAGAAAGGAAAAAACCGTGGCTGACAGATTGATAAGGTGGAAAATGAAAAAAACCTAATTTTTTTTCAAAGTTAAAAAACTTACTTGATGATTTTAATCTACTATTTCCAAACCTAGAAACCAGCAAATTTCAGAAAACGTACTCCATTTAATCTCTTTTTTAGTGGTGTAATTTCCTTTTAATTACTTTTTTCAACAGTGAAGAAATTGATGGAAGAAAGGAAAAAACCGTGGCTGACAGATTGATAAGGTGGAATATGAAAAAAACCTAATTTTTTTTTCAAAGGTAAAAAACTTGATGATTTTTATCTACTATTTCCAAACCTAGAAACCAACAGATTTCAGCAAATGTACTCCATTTAAAATCCTTTTTAGTGGTGCAATTGCTTTTTTAACGACTTTTTTCAAAGATGGAGAATTTTATGAATGAAAGGAAAAAACCGTGGTTGAAGAATTGGTATGGTAGAACGATTAATAATAATAAAAAAAGCTTAAGGAAATTTTGAATGAATTTATAAAAGGTGTTTTTAATTGGTGTGCGAAACCGAAATAGTGCACGTGTTTACTTGCCAACACGACTGCAACTTTGATTAAAAGATTGTTGTATTATTATTTTCCGGAATAAAAGAGTTTCAAGATTCAAAACGTTGTTAGTTACCTATGTAAACTCTTGTTAACACTATGGCTACTTTTTCTAATGAAGAATACACTGATATACATCTTATGTACGGGTTTTGCTGGACGGCAGCGCATCGAAAATACATTGCGGAGAGTGGAGACCATTTCGAATCAAAAATGAAAAAGTTTAATAATTTCATTCAAAATTTCCTTAAGTTTTTATTTTATTATTATTAATCGTTCGACCTCACCTTGAACCACAGTTTTTTCCTTTCCTTCATGTATTTCTTCATTTTTGAAAAAAGTCATTAAAAAAGCAATTGCACCATTAAAAACGATATTAAATGGAGTACGTTTGCTGAAATTTGCTGGTCTAGGTTTGGAAATAATAGTTTAAAATCACCATAGTAAGTTTTTTCTATTTTGAAATAAATAATATTTTTCAAAATTCTTGCTACTAAAACGCTTATTTAACGGGCGTTTACAAGTTTACTATTGATCACATCTTATTGGAAATTTAACGAAGTTTTCAGTTTTATCAACAGATTTGTCTAAAACTTTTTCGTTTTGGAGTTATCACTGTTTATTTGAAGCAAGGCCGTGAAATCTTCAAAAATCAGAAAAAGTGGAATAACTCCGAAACCGTAGATATTCGGACCACAGTTATTTATGATTTTTTGATTCCATTTTGAATGTAGAGAAACGAAACGAATATACAAATATACAGGGTGTTCGTTTCTCGTGTTACAAACTTTGCAACTAGATTCTACATTCAAAATGGAATTTAAAAAATCATAATTAACTATGGTCCGAATCTTATTTTTTTATATATATAAAAAACTCTCAACACGACACGCAAGGATGGCACAATTACACATAAGACAAACACTTTGAGCCCTGAAGATGATCTCAATAAAAGATCGAAACGTTGGCACGATAAAGAAAATGTTTTTCTGAAACCTACATCACACCCGACCGCATCTCACGATATCTGAATAACTATATAAAATAATGCAAAAATGATTGCATTAATGAAAATAATGCGTAAAATATAATGCCGATCGTGACACTGACTTGTTTTTATCTGAACCACCTTGCATAAAGATTAATTAATTGAATAAAATATAATGTGTGTGTTTATATTTTATTTTCAAAAACCGACAAAATAAAGATAAAACTTATGTCTATTTAGAACGGAAGGGTTGTAGACCTCGTTGCTTTATCAATTCGGTAATTCGCTATGTGTAAAACCACAAGTTTCAGAACTGTAAGTAGGCGATCATTTTTTTCTTGAGTAAATGAGAATTGTTTCAATTTTCTGATGAAGGAGCAATATTCCATGAAAGCTTGGAAAATGAATAGTGTTTTTCGTTTATAATCCCTGATTTTTATTCCAAGTCAATACTAAAACTGATATCAATTATTCCGAGATGATACTAGGATTGACCAATTTAAAACAATGAAGAAAATATGCAATTCACGGAGTATTTCCAGGTCTTGCGATGATTATTGCTTGCAATCGACGTGCCGGGCACTCCTGTTCTCCAAACCCTCTTCGGCTGTCAGAAACCTCAAACAAAACTTTGACTCATCAGAAAACAAGATTTTAGTCCAATCTTGGTCAGACTTATTGCTTTAAAGAAAAATATCAGATAATCAAATAAAAACGAATAGCCACAATTAAACTGACTAAAACAATTTTATCAAAACTATTGGTAAGAAAACAATGAAGAAATTATTCTATTCAGAACGGATTATTTCCTCCTCTTGCGTTGATCACCATTTGCATCCGACATGGAATCGATTTTATGAGGTTTAGAACGTAATGCTGTAGAATATTTTCATATTCCTCCAACAGCGCCTTTCTTAATTTCTGCGAATCTCTGGCATCCCTCGTCCGATGACACGGTTTAAGTCGGGACTACTTGGCCCCAAACATTGAATTCCACGCAGTTCCAAAAAGTCACCAACTATCTTAGCTGTGTGGGGCCTTCCAATGTCATACATAAAAATGTGTGGCATATGAAGAACTTCTTCAATGAATCGCGCAGCTGTTAGGTAACCCCCGATGACGATCAAGTTTGTGCGACTTTCCGTAAAACTGCCTGCCCAAACCATAACACCATCAACTCCGTACCATCTCCAGGGTGAAAATGTTTCAGGGATAAAACGTTCTCCGGCTCTTCTCCAAACCTTCCCTCGGCCATCAGAAGACCTCTAACATGCCTTCACTCATCCGAAAACAAAATTTTAGTCCTATCTTGCTCAGATCAATAGATGTGAATTCTTGTGAAACTTAATCGAGCTCTTTTCTGCCTTGTCAGAAGTTCTGGACCCTTGGCAGTCCTTCTCGTACAT